ATTTCGAGCGGCTGGGCGAGCACGCCGCCGCCTTCCAGGGCCACGACGTGGGCTTCTGCTGCCTGGGCACCACCAGGGCCAAGGCTGGCGCGGTGAGTGGGGACACCCCGGAGCCCCGGGCGAGCAGGGCTCCCGCTCGCCCCCCGCCTGCCCCGCTGAGCCTCCTGTCCCCCGCAGGACGGCTTTGTCCGTGTGGATCGGGACTACGTGGCGCAGGCGGCGGAGCTGGCGCGGGCAGGGGGCTGCAAGCACTTTGTCCTGCAGTCCTCCCGGGGGGCAGACCCGCACAGCCGCTTCCTCTACCTCCGAGTGAAGGTGAGCGGCCGCGGTGGGCTCCTGGCGCTCCTGCGGGAGCCACAGGGTGCCGGCATGCTCGGGAGGGAAGCGGGAGCTGAGGTCTTGAGATGCTAGTGGCTCTGGGGGTCCTGTGCTGCTGCGGGAGCAGGGAAGGGGCTGGCCGGAGAGCTGCAGCTGCCTTCTTGTAAAGCAGCACAAGCCCTGCATGCAGCGCCTGTCTCCCTCCTCCAGCTCCAGAAACATCTGCTGGGCTCTCTAGCCCAGCTACAGCTCCCCAAGCCTGACCCGGGCTGGCTTCACAGCTCTGTGGGAGGCCCAGGGCGGTGTCCAGGTGACACCACACCCATGGCAAAAGCTTCCTCCGCGTCTTGTGTGCCGCAGCTCCCGACAGCTGCTGGACCCGGAGCCGCCTGCCAGCATCCTGTGCCGCCCGCATCTGTCCCCAGGCTGCATGCTGAGCCGGCCGCTCTCCGGAGCATCCTGCTGCACTTGTGCCCGCTGGCTGCAAGGGTGCGCTGCTGACCTGCGCTGCAGCTGCTGCCTGCCCGGGGAGCCGATCCCTGCCTGTCCCCTCCCAGCTCTGCGCTGCCACCAGTGCCGTCCTGCAGCTCTTTCCTGCCCGCTCGCGGCAGCAAGGATGGTGCTTGCAGTCATCCTTGTCTCCTTTCATCCTGCCTGGCTGTTCCGACAGGGAGAAGTGGAAGAGCTGGTGCAGGCTGTTGGCTTTGATCGCTGTACCATTCTCCGGCCAGCGTGAGTAGTGGTGGCGGAGGGCGGGCACGGGGTGGAGGCTGGCCGGGGCAGCAGGGAGATGCTTCACGAGGGGAGATGGAGGAGGAGGAAGGACACACGAGGGCAGGGCTGGGGAGGGAAGTGGAGAGTGCCACGGGCTGCAAATGCAGCTCATGGATGAGCTGACTGCTTCCCAGTGCTGCGGGGAGCAAGCTCTGCGTTTCCTACGGCCCGTCCCAGTGCCAGAGCCATTGCCATGCAAGGACAGGAGCCTTGGGCTGGAAGCACAGGTCAGGACACATAGCTCAGAGCTTATCTCCAGATGGACCTTGGCCTTCTGCAGAGGGAACAGTCACCTGTGTCCTTTCAGCTGTACTGTGCTCCTGCTACCTAAGAGAACTGGAATTCTGCTTTCATCAGCACGGTGGGGAAGGGAGTTTAGTGTCTGAGGGCTCAGCTCTGTCACGTCCCATGACCCTGCAGAGCCCCAGAGCCCATGGAGCTCAGGGAGCTTGTCCTGATGCAGCTGGAGACCTCAGTCTGTTGCAGGCTGACCCAGCTCACCCCCTTGCTCTGCAGGGTGCTGCTGTGCAAGCGCCAGGAGTCCCGGCCCATGGAGTGGATAGTCCAGCAGTTCCTGGGTGCGGTGGCTCGCGTGTTCCCCACCGCCTGCTCGGTGCCTGTGGACACGGTGGCCAGGGCTATGGTGGCCTGCGTGCTGCAGCCAGGCCAGGGGGAGGTGGAGGTGCTGGAGAACGGGGCCATCCATGAGCTGGGAAAGGCAGTGCCGGAGCAGGGCACATAGAGCAGGAGGGGTGGCGGGCAGGAGCTCGGTTCACCCTTCAGACGCTCTCTGGGCTGGGGAGGAACACACGCACGGGAGAGGTGCGGGGTGCTAGCGTGGAGCCAGAGGCACATCCACCTCTGCACGGTGGCTGACTCTGTCAAGGGATCAAAATGCAGGTGCTGGCTGCTGGGTGAGGATAACCAAAGTGCTCTGCTGCTGGATCTGTGGCACGGGTAAAGATGATGTAACCCAGGCCGTGAATAAAGCCCTGTGACCGATCCGGTTGTGCCGCCGTGTGCTGAGGCAATCTCTGTCACCCACGCAGCACGAACCCAGGCCTCGTGTGCTCAGCTGGTGTCACTTGAGGGACAGGCAGGTGACAGGCACAGGACAGCAGAGCAAGGCAGCGTGTGGAGGCTGCACCTCACAGAGCACACGGTGGCACCAGTGCTGCTTGGACAGCAGAGGCCTGGAGGCTCTGCCTGCAGCAGCTCCCTGCAGACACTGCTGTCCTCACCTGCTCAGGGGGCAGAGGGGCTGCTCTAGGGACGCTGCTGCTCACACCTGGGCTGCCACTTGCTGCCTGCAGTCACAAAAACACCGTGAAAATACTTGCAAGTGCCTGTCCCTCTGGGCTCTCCTTGGGGCACCAATGAGCCCGAGCCCCGTGTTGAGATGAGGCCAGCCCTGTGCACACCTTGGAGGGGGCTTGTTCCTGCCCAGCTTCCTTCTGTGGGCGTGGGGCAGGCACCAGCAGCAGTGCAGTGTCCCAGGCACGGCCCTGGCTGTTCTCAGGCCTCGTGCTCGGGGTCGAGGAACTCGCTGGCTCCTCAGATGGGACGCAGAACATACGTGACTCCCAAATTCCCTGCTGGCCACAGTCCCAGTGCTCCGGCTAACACTGCTTTCCAGGATTTTCTCTGACCTCATCCGCGGCTCCTGTGTCACTGACTTGGATGTGGCAGATGGAGAGGGCCTAGATCCCATCTCCTGCTCCTCCAGAAGCCTTTCCATCGTTGGGTTGGCCTCGGCAGGTTGGTGGAGGCAGTGGGATGGTGCAAGGCCTGCACTTGGCTCCTCAGCCACCTGTGGGGCCACAGAGCCACAGCTCCTGGTAAGACTGTCCCAGTGAGAGCAAAACAGCACCTTTAGAACAGCATTTAATGCAGAAAGGGAAATGAGAGCAGGCCGGTCAGCATCACCTGCGTGTCCAGAGTACGAAGGCTGGTCACCTGCATTCAAGCTCTGGAAACTTACAGGTGAAAGGCAAGCCACAGAACACATGAGGAAAGCATCCTAAAGACATAAACATGAATTATGACCATGTGAGAAGCAGAAAGTTCTCCAGGGAGGCTCAAGGACAGGATGTGACCGGGCTCTATAGGAAGGAATGAGCCACCACAAAAAGCCTCACTGAGTTACTTGCGTTGCCCTTTGCTGTTAGGGAGCTCACACTACCCCCAGTCCTTGGGGGACACACATTTGCATTACTGTCCCAAAGCGTGCAGGGGAAAAAGAAATATTTTTAACCCGGTTTTTAGAAGACGAGGTTAAAAGTCTGCCAGAAGGAGCACTCAGATGAACGGCCAAATACTCTCCTGGGTGAGAATTGCAGCGATCCCTTTACCAAAAGGTCAACATTGTTAAATATGATGCTAGTTCTTAAAAAGTTCCAGTGGGAACCAGGAAACTGCAAGGCAGCTAGGCTGCCTTCTATAAAAGGCACGTTGCTAGAAAGGATAATAAAGTCTGGAAATAACAGGCTCCAGGATAAATCGGGTGCAGTGGGAGATTCCACGCGGCTCTTGAAGGGGCAGCACAAGCCTGGAGCCCTCCTGGAGGAAACAGCCATCGTGTACACAGACAATCTGCTCCTCAGAGTGCACTCACATCTCCAAAAAGCTCTCCCTGAAGGGCTCTTAAAGAAATGAAGCTGTCGTGGGAAGACAAGGAAGGTCTGTGTGGTTTCTTATTGGAAATATTTTCTTAGCACTCCAAAGCCTTGAAACACACAAAAACAAACATTTCTTGCTGGACAAAGGTCTGTGGAAAACACGAGCTATTTCTGTGTAACCCTTGTTTCTGCTCAGTGGTTACAGTGTCTTTTTTCAGTGTTTCAGATCAATTAGTGTTAAAATGCAATCCCAGCACACAGTACAGCTTCCTTATCCCCCTCCCACGCGGAGTTTCCTCCCACACTTCGGACCTCAGCTCCCCAGTTTGCTCTGAGCGCTCCTTAAACCCCAGCCCAGATTTTAGACCATGGATCACTGAATCACTGCAGAGGGGGTTTGTCCCCCCAGGGCTGAAAGAGGTGAAGGAGACAAAAGTCTGTAGGGAACAGACCCAGAGGGTCTCCCTGGGCAGAGCTGCAGGTGTGCAGGGATGGAGCCGTGTCCTTGGCACGCCTGGCTCTCTGCGTTCCAGGGGCACGCAGCCCTGCCTGCAGCTGGGGGAAGAGCAGGGAGTGCTCAGGCTGCCGGACAGCGAGCACACAGAGCACCTGGCCCACGTTCTGCTGGCATTCTGGCACTGCTGGGACCGCAGAGGGCTCGTGCTGACAGGAGAGCTGCGGTCCCAGGGGCTCGGCTGGGGGGCTTTCCCAGGAGGTCCCGTGGCCCTGCTGCCCCAGCCCTGAGCTCTGGGAACCGCCAGCCCCTTCCCTCCGAGCCAGGGAACAGCTGGCAAGGCGTCCTGCAAGCAGCACCACGCTCCTGAGGAGCTCTTCAGAGCAGCCCCCGGGCTGGCAGGCGCTGGCCTGGCTCTCGGTGACATCCCGGTGACATCCCGGTGACATCCTAGTGACACCCCGGTGACATCCCGGTGACACCCCAGTGACATCCCGGTGACATCCCAGTGACATCCCGGTGACATCCCGGTGACACCCCGGTGACACCCCAGTGACACCCCAGTGACACCCCGGTGACACCCGGTGACATCCCAGTGACACCCCGGGTACACCC